CACCTGGTGGAAGCACGACGTTGAGATCCTGGCGCCGCAATTTGTTTCGATCGCAGGCGTTTTCGGATACTCTGCGGGCCCCGGGACCCTCGCGCATCGATCCGGCTCGAAACATGGCGCAGCAAGCTGGAGTCCTGGGCTCTAGTCGTGTTTTTTTTTCTCTCGGGATGTTGGACTTTGTTCGAGATGTCGGATCTCAGGGAACGCGGCCGCCCCCGCCAACGGAAGCCGGCGGAAGTAAAACATGTGTTCCCAGGAGGTGGCAGCATTTGGGGATTCAGGGTTCCCGAAACAAACTGCTGACATGCGCGAGTTTGCTCTTGCGTGTGAGTTTCCGGTCCCGCCCGTGCCTGCAGTTCGGCCGAGTCTGCCAGTCCTCTGGGGCCGTTTCTGTTGGGGCCCTGGCCTCGCAGACGGGCGCTGCCAGCATGGGCCCTGCCTCTCAGGCCCCGTGCTCATCAGTTCGTGAAAGCCTCTGCGCAAGCTTGGGGGGCTGCAGGATGAAGGAGGCGGAGGAGGAGAAGAGGAGGAGGAGGAGGATGAGGCAGGAACGAGGTAGCAGCAAGAAAGACGCGGGGGAAGGAGGAGGAGGAGGAGGAAGAGGAAACGGACCAGGAGAATGATGATGATGATGATGATGATGATGATGATGATGATGATGATGATGATGATGATGATGATGATGATGATGATGATGATGATGATGATGATGATGATGATGATGATGATGATGATGATGATGATGATGATGATGATGATGATGATGATGATGATGATGATGATGATGATGCTGATGATGATGATGATGATGATGATGATGCGATGATGATGCTGATGCTGATGCTGATGTGATGCTGATGCTGATGCTGATGATGATGATGATGATGATGATGCTGATGCTGATGCTGATGCTGATGCTGCTGCTGATGATGATGATGATGAGATGATGATGATGAGGAGGAGGAGGAGGAGGAGCAGGAGGAGGGAGGAGGAGGAGGAGGAGGAGGAGGGGAGGGAGGAGGAGGGGGGAGGAGACGAGGAGGAGGAGAAGAGGAAGGAGGAGAAGGAGGAAGGAGGAAGGAGGAAGGAGGAAGGCGGAAGGAGGAAGGAGGAAGGAGGAAGGAGGAAGGAGGAAGGAGGGGTCCCCCTCGTCGGGCTGAAATTGCGTGTCGGCCGCGTTTCGGCGCTGTGTCGCGTCTCTCCGTGGCTCTATTCTGTCGCCACCTGTCCGCGCTTCGATGCTCGCACCTGGCCGCTCGTTGAATGGCTTGATTGCCTCATCCTGCTGACTGAGACGTCTACCTCGTCGTGTGCTGCCCTGTCCGTGGCGAGGGCGGCAGGCGGTGTTCGCCATTCTCCTCCTCCTCTCTCCTCCTCCTCCTCCTCCTCCTCTCCTCCTCCTTCTCCTCCTCCTCATCCTCCTCCTCTCCTCCTCCTCTCTTCCTCCTCCTCCCTCCTCCTCCTCCTCCTCCTCTCCTCCTCCCTCCCTCCTCCCTCCTTCCTCCTCCTCCTATCCCTCCTCCTTCCTCCTCCTCCTCCTCCTCCTCCTCTCCTCCTCCTCCTCCTCCTCCTCCTCTCCTCCTCATCCTCCTCCTCCCTCCTCCTCCTCCTCCTCCTCCTCCCCCTCTCCTCCTCCTGCTCCCTGCTCCTCCTCCTCTCCTCCTCCCCTCTCTCCTATCTCCTCCTCTCCTCCTCCTCCTCCTCCTCCTCCTCCTCCTCCTCCTCCTCCTCCTCCTCCTCCTCCCCCCCCCTCCTCCTGCCGCCGCTGCTGCTGCCGCCGCCCGCTGCTTCTCCTCCCCCCCCGCCCTCCTCGCACCCCTCCTCGCCCCGCCAGGCCAGCGCCGGCGGCGGCGGCTCCGCCGGCGGCTTCCCGTGGCACCTCCAGGACCTGTAGCCAGCGCGCGCGGCGCCGCGGGGCCCGGCTGTCGGCTCCTATCCCGCAGCAGCACGCTCCGCGGGCGAGGGGCGCGGTCCGCCGGCGCTGCCTCGGCAGGCTCGGGGCGGCCCTCGCCTGCAGCCCCGCCGCTCGAGACGGAGCCCCCGCCCCACCCTCCGCGGCCCCCGCCCCGCGTCTGGCGATCTACCACTGCTAGTCACCACAGGTAGGGCGGGGGAGAAGGGAGGACGGGGAGGTCATCCTCCTCTTTCTCTTCCTCCTCCTCCTCCTCCTCCTTCTCGTCCTCTTTTCCGTAGCCATTTTGGCTCAAGGCTAATGCTTTTGCGGGCTGAGCCCGTATTGGCTTCCACGGAGACCGCTAGTCCGCGGCAGTGCCAGAGCGCTTGCGCTCGACAGCTTACCGCCTACACCGAGGGGTTGGGCTCCCTCATCAGTTTTGTCGCCACGGCCAGGCTGCCTGGCTACGGTACGGCCGTCACTGCTCTTGTCTCTCGTACTGTGCGGGCATCATGGCGCCGCCGAAAGGTGTTGCGGCAAGAGACAGGGCAGCACGGGCCAAGAGATGGGTGTGCAGGCACTGCACACATGAGAAAACTGGCGAGCCTTGGCACAATCATGCAGATGCTGTTTCTTGCTTCTTGTGTGGTGGGGCCAAAGGACGCGTCTACAAGTGCGACCTACCTTCTCCTACGCCCAGTGTTCGTGCACCTGCTGCTGGGGGCAATGCACGGGCGGTGCTGGAGGCTAAGGATAAGGAGTTGGCGGCCCTTCGGAAGCAGGTGCAGCAGCTGTCTCGGACCAGGCCGACTGAGAACGTGCAGCAGTCGCCTCCGCAGTCTGATGCCGCCACCACTAAGGACGACGCCCAGAGTAAGCAGCAGGAGCTGGAGGCGCTGGAGCAGGTTGTGGCCTCCCTCGAGCTGGCCGCCAAAGTCAAAGGCGTTGCCCCGCAGACTGTCGTCGGCTATGAGGAAGCTCAAACATCGTTACGAAAGTTGCGGCAGGAGATCCACGATGCTAAGCCGTTGGGTGCGCAGGTGCATGGCATTGGCAATAAGATTCAGAAGGCTGATCAGCAGATTGCGAAGCTCAAAGCCACCATCGAGTCGGAAGAGCAGGCCATCGCTGAAAAACAAGCTTTGTTGGTGGATCTCAAGCAGCAGTTGGAGACCAAAGAAAAGGCTCGGGTGCAGATGCAGAGGGAGCAGATGGAGTTGCTGCGTACTCGTACACCTGAGCAGGTCACTCATGCTCCTGAAGGCAGCGACCAAGCGGTCTTTGACACCTTCACGGCCAGTCTGGAGCAGCTGCAAAGCCTGGTTCAGTCCCTCGGTGGCGGTGCGCAGTTGGCTGCCAGTTGCGCCCAGTTCGTGGAGCCCTGGCTTGAGCAAGTTCGGAAGCAGCGAACCGAACAGCAAGAGCTGCTTCGCGCGCAACAGCAGCAGCCACAACAGCAGCAGCGACCTCCCGAGCCGCCACAGCAGCAAGCTGAGCAGCCTGTTCGGCCCGAGTGCTTTGACATGCCTGTACCTGAAGATATGGACCTGGGAGATCTTCGGACATTTGTTGCTGACGCTGGGATGGAAGCCAGCGCTGATGAGGCGGAGCTGCGCGCCCAGGCCAAGCGCCAGCTGGGCTCGCGCCAGAAGCTGCTGGCCAAGAAGCCCAAGGTCGCGGCTTAGGCCTGTGCTCCTGATTGCTACTATCGGCGCAATGGCGGCATATTTTCATTCCTTCGATTTCGGCGACGACTTCGAGCAGTTGTGTGCCGACCCTGGCTTCGACCAGGATGAGTTCTTCGGGATCTACGAGCAGGATACTAGAGCGTTCGGAGGACCTGCTGATGCAGATGGTGGCTGCGAACGCCTACTTGCGGATCCTGGTCCGCTGCCAGATGCTTTTGTCCCTGTGCATGTTGATGACGGAGGGCATCAGGCGTTAGTTCGCAAATCCTGGGTTGCCTGTGGCAGCTCAGGTTCGCAGTCGCGCCTGCGTCCACCATCCCCCAGGGCACCCCTTCCACAGGAGGCGGGGGACTCAGCGAGTGGGGGTGGGGGCGCAGGGTTTTGCTGGACTCCTCTTTCTCATGGCGAGGTCGCAGTCGGTGGCGCGACGTGGGGCAGCAGTCCAGGACACCTCCATCCAGCTCGGATGCCTGCACCTCCTGACCCAGTGCAGGACTACCAGGACATGCGCCAGAACTTACGCGACTGGGCGGCCCACTGGTTCGACAGCCACGCACAGACCCCACGGGATGGAGTCCGTGGGTTGAATGGTGTACTGCCTTTTTATCCGCCTTGATAGGACGTGATGCCAATATTCCTTTACGTCAGTTGCTCTTGACTTGGCTTCCTGGAAGGAGCCTTCAAGATATATTTGATGAGTTATGTTCTTCGGCATGGCGGCAATCTGAGGGACGTCGAGAGGCCTGGTTCATGCGCCTTGCTGGTCGTGGGCCCGGCGCCGCTCGAAGGCTCGAGCACAGACACTGGAGAGCTCTCGACGAGGTCCGAGCGATGTTCCGACGAGTGCTGGGCGACCAGGCCCCAGATGTCAGGAATACACCACGTCCTCGACGACCTAATGCAGATGATGACCAAGCGGGTGACCCTTTGGACTCGGTCATCGCGCAGCTGGTGGCGCTGTCTTTCAGGCCGACAGCTTCCACTTCAGCTGCGCCTACGACTGCATCTACCAGTTCTTGGAGTGGGTCGTCAGCGGCCACGCTGGTCGATTTCACGACTGCTCCGATGAGTGCGACCAACACTGGGATCTCTAATACAGGATCCAGGCCACATGCCTTGCTGGAATCCAGCCCGAGTCGCCACGACCCCCGTCAGAACGCGTCTGGGCAGGCCCTCCCTGGGATCCTGGGCCCCTGCTCGCCTCAGGCTGACGCTGAGCGGCGGGAGGTCTCTTGGGGGGGCCGTTCGGTCTTGTCGGCTCAGGCCACCGCTGCCCCCCCTGGGCCTGTCGAGGGGTCGCAGGGGCCAGACGGGTCCCAGTGCTCACATCCTACCTTGAGTGGCATAGGGTCGAGCCATGCGGAGCTTAATGTACCATCGGATCCGAATGGGAAGGCACGGCGCCAGGCCGACGACAGGGCCAAGCGCAGCCTGCCCTCGCTCAAAGGTCAGGTGGTGACGGTCAACGTCAGCTCGCATGGCTCCCTCTTCGAGTACATGCCAGGCATTGGCGACGACGTGAAGGTGCTGCTAGTTCAAGAGCACCACTTGCTGCCCGAGCGCCTCCAGCAGGCGCAATCTCAGGCTCGTGATATTGGCTGGCATGGGATATGGGCTGCTGCGACGCCGAGTACTGCCTCGGCGACGGGCACGACTGCAGGCGTCGCTGCCCTCGTTCGCACGGACGTGATGATCACCGCCCCTATCTTGGCAGAGAGGGAGGTCGTCACTGGAAGATGTCGGTTTGCGCATATTCACTGGGGTGTGCCTGGAGGTTTCACAGCTGGCAGCATCTACCTCGACACGAAGGATGGCATGGGCCCAGTCGACACGGCCTACCTGTGGGAGACGGTCAAGGCTCTCGCGAGGCTCAACAGCGAGGGGGTGGACTGGCTCATTGGTGGGGATTGGAATATCCAGCCTGCTGAGCTTTTCTCGTCCAGCTGGGCTACGGCAGCTTCGGCAATACCCTTCTGCCCAAAGGTGCCGACGTGCAGGCAGGCCAATCCTGGGACTGTACTTGAATATTTTTTTGGTTTCGGCAAACCTGGCAGCACGGGTGGACTCCCATCTTCGGGTTGATGAAGAGGCGACGTTATACCCTCATTGTCCAGTGCACCTGCAAGTCTTTGGACAGGACAACCCGCTATGGAGGCTCGTGCCGAATTTGCCTAAGGAACTACCACTACAGGCCCCCGCTGGATGTTCGAGGTTCCCGTACTACTGGGAGGCGACCAGCTTTGAGGAGGCCGATGACGCGGAAGGGCTTGCTGCGTGCATGGGCGACTTGATGATTGGGGTCGAAAGGGAGCTCACCAACCGCTGCGATCATGTGGGGCCTGCCGCGCTGCGCTACTCAGGCCGAGCGGGGGCGACCTCCTTCACGTGGCGGAAGGTTGCCTGGCAGCCACCCCTCAAGCGCACCTACAAGCGCTCGCAGACCTTGGCCTGGAAAGTGGTGTTTCGATGGTTTATGCACATTCAGAAGGAGCGCCACAGACTTCGCACGCTGGTCACCAGGCTTCAGATGGCCCATGTTCTTTGTGATATTGATCCGCCCCAGTGCGCAGTCCTGCTCCAGGCTTTCAGTGAAGTTGGCGGGTATCTTCGTAATATCATGCGCAGCCAAGTGGTGCTCCACCAGATGCCTGAGAATGTGCAGGCCTTCCTGAAATCTGGGCTGCAGGTCTTGGTTGCACCTGGCTTCGAGGACCTCCTGCGCTCGGTCGGGAATGAGGCCACTCGGCTGCGCAAGGAGGACCAGCGGGAATCCTACCGAGCTTGGATGCAGTTCCAGCGTAAGGCTTTTCAGTCAGGGGCCTCCATTGCTCACCGTGTCACCAAGGTGCGGCCGCTGGAGCAGGTTGTTGCATGTCAACGACGCCCTGCAGATGCTCAGCCGCAGGCTCTGGCGAATCGGGACATGAAGACTTGGGTTGATGTATGGACCCATCATGGATGCCTACCAGTCCAGCCTCCTCCTGAGGCCGCAGAGTGGCCATGTCTTCCGAAGCTTGACGCCGACACCCTGAGGAAGGTGATACTGACATTCCCTAGAAAGACCTCGACGGGGCCCTGTGCATTACACCCACGCTTGCTGTGGCACCTGTCAGATGAGTCGCTCGAGATGCTGGGCAGTTTCTTTGCAAGGTGCGAGCAACTGCTCGCATGGCCTGCAGATCGGCTCTGGTCGATGATGTGTCGCATTCCCAAGGCTGATGAAGGACATCGCCTGGTTGCAGTGGTCCACGCTTTCCAGCGCATCTGGGGCAGGGCCCGGCGTGGCATATCTCGGCAGTGGGAGCAGCAGCATCGCACGGACAATGTGTGGGGCAACAGGTCCCGCTACACCTCGTCGGACAGCGCTTTTAGCCACAACTTGGACTCGGAGGTGGCTGTGCTGAGGGGCCAGTTCAGTGCGACGGTCTTACTAGATCTCACGAAGGCGTTCGACATGGTGCGGCCGTCGCAGCTGTTTCGCGAGGGCTGCTTGCTTGGCTATCCACCGAGGATGCTGTACATGTTGCTCAAGATGTACGCCCAGCCGAGGAGCCTCAAAGGGTACGGCACGTTCTCCGACATGGTGCAGGTGGACCAAGGAATTCTTGCTGGATGCACGCATGCCGTCTGTATGCTGGAATGTCTCACGTTACGGGCCATCCTACGCTTGCGTGACAACTACGCTGGAGTTGTGCCACGGGCTCTGGTTGATGATGTTTCGGTTCAGTACGTTGGGCCTGACCCAAAGGGCATACTTGCGCTTGATTTGGCGGTGCGAATATTTCAGGAGGACTCTAGAGTGCTTGGTTATTGCTTTAATGACAAGAAGTCGGGGCCGGTTGCCGCGACGGTGGCTTCTCGTCAGATCTTGCGAGGCTCTAAGTTTGCACATCGGCCGTGGATGCGTAACCTTGGCCACGAGACTTTCGGCATTCGCCCTATTCGCTTGCAAGAAAAGGCCCGCTTTCGTGATCTCCAGAAGCGACGTCATCGGCTCCATCTTTTTCGCCAAGTGGCTGGTCGTAAGAACTCAGTGATCTGGCGGGCAGGAGCACAACCAGCGGTGGCTCATGGTGCTGGCGTGTCGGGCATGACTGACTCAGCTCTTGTCACGGCCAGGTCAGTTGCTGCTACAATGGTTGGGGCACCGCCGAGAGCGCACAAGACGGCTTATATGTACTGTCAGTGGCAGGTGCGCTACGACCCGATTTTTGATGCTACGACGGCGCTGTTGTGCCGGCTGCATTGCTTTATCTGGGATGCTCGGGTGCCCCTCAGTGCGCTACGACATGCATGGTTGAGTTTGGCAGATCGTGTTAACAACAAAGGGCTGACCTGGGCGGTGGTGCGCGGCCCACTGAGTGCTGCATGGCTCACGCTTAACAGAATTGGCTGGACATTTCTTGGACCTCATCACTGGCGTAGCGACCAAGGTGAGGATTTTGATCTCCTGCGAGTGGCACCAGCCGACATGAAGGTATATCTTGAGGATTCGATCAAGCGGTGGCAGGTGCAGCGGCTGGTCTATCACTTGCTTGTGCAGGAGGCGTCTCACGATGTCTGGGAACGAGCTCTTCGACTTGGGCTCCGTGACTTGAGGCAGGCGCCGCTTGGAGCGCTGAGGGCACTGTGGGCTGATCGGTACCCCACTGCTGCCCGCCTTGCTGCATGGGGAAAAGATGTGAAGGTGCACTGTGCAGCCTGCCAGTCAGATGACGGATCTTTCGGGCATGTTTGGCACGGATGTCCCAGCTTGCTGCAGCCCGATGAGAGCGAGGAGGCTTCTGGTGTTGAGGTTTTGTGCGAGAGACACGCGTCTCATCGGGATGCGCTGCGAGCTCTTGGACACCGCCCCCCGCTCGATCCTGAGTTTGACAGACTCTATTTTAGTTACGGTTTTCCGAGGCTCTCGATCCAGCTTCCATCCCCGCCTGAAGCTTCGGTGGTTTGGGAGTGGGATGACGTTGGGGGTGTGTGGGGGCCTGTTACTTCCGGGGATGGAAGCGCACAGCACCCCGCCGCGCCTGAAGTCAGGCGAGCGGGGTGGGCCATAGTTCAGCTCAACGATGCGCTCCTCCCTGTCCGCGCGGTGTTTGGATCCCTGGAGGGTGCTGTCCAGACCGTGGGCAGAGCGGAGAGAACTGCGCTCCTGCACGCCATGAGGCGTAATCCCAGCATGGAGGTTTTTGTTTCGGATTTGCTTTCTCTGGTTCAGGAAGGCTTGTCTTGGGACCCTGAATTGGCGTGCGGAATGAATAGATACGCTGCCATCTGGAGGAGTGTCTTTGAGTTGGCGCAGCGTAGGCCTGTCCAGGACCCTCCCCCTCACTTCGTGTGGACCCCCGCTCACCTCTCTCTCGAGGAAGTCCTGGAGCGAAAGCTGGACCCGATAACCTGGATCGGGAATGCGTGGGCCGACCTGTTTGCCAAGCTAGCTTCGACTAGGGTCATGATAGCTAGGACGACGGCAGAGGCTGTCGCAGGCGAACTCAAGTTTCATCGTGCAACCATTGATTACATTTCCTGGGCTGCGGCCAGGCTCGCCCGACTCAGACGGTGGACTTCTCTGCCCCCGCCGTCGAGTGTCTGTCGACCCCAGCCTGCGCCGCAGCTCAGCTTGCATGGTCATTCCTTTTTCCTCGACCCTGACTCAGGAGAGGTGAGATGCATCTCATGTTTCGTCGGGGCATGGGCCTGCAGTACCTTGGCGCATCTGTGTAACGGCCCCTCCAAGTTTTGCCGACCCTCGGCCCTTTCAGCCCTCAAGGGGCAGGAGTGGTTGCGGGTGCGAAATCTAGCGCGGCCTGTGAAGGCCGCTGCTGTTGTCGAAGCGGACCAGGCCCTGGTGGCTGAGGGTCTGCTGCCGCCCCTTCCTCCCCCTGGAAACCCCACGGGAAACGAGAGAGAGGCGGCCATCTGTGATTTTGAGTCGAGAGGTCACACGATTGAGAAGTATGATCGTGTGATGATTTGTTCCACCTGTGCTGGCTTTGTGTTGCTCCCGCATGGTGTCCCTCGTGCCCCGATGGCCAAGTGTCAGGGCGCTTCCAAGGTTCCATCAACCAGGGACAAACAGTTGCGGAAGCTTTCCAAGGCCTCCAGAGGCCTGCACCCGTCTACGGGCGAGGTCCTCTCCTGTGCCCAGGGCCCTGTCCCCTCCTCGCCTTTGTCCTTCCCTCAGGCTTCTTCCTCCATATTATCTACGGTGGCCAGTGCCTCTCGTCCTGAGGAGGCCGCCACTACCGATGGTAAGGGGGCGGGGCGGGTGGAGCGGCGGATCGGGCGGGGGGGGGTTCGGATGACTCTGATTAACTCGTTTTGTTCTTTGGCGTCGGCGCTGCTACCGTCGCCCGCTGCCGCCGCTGGCGGCCGCCTCCTGTACGCGAAGTTCAGCATGTTCGCGCCAGGCGCGCCCTGCTGTCTCCCGCGTGCCTCCCATTCCTAGCCTAGGGTTGTTCGTTCCCGCGGACGACCCTCTGTCGGCGCCCACCACCTCCTTCTCGTCCTCCCCTTTCTCCTTCTCCTCCATCTCCTCCTTCTCCTTCTCCTCCTCCTCCTCCTCCTCCTCCTCCTCCTCCTCCTCCCTCCCCTACCTAAGGTAGCGGTGGTGGACACTCGGCCCATCACACATCCCCGGAAGACAGCGGGCCTTTCTCTCAGTACTGGGGGGAGGCGGGCTCGACGATCGACGCTCGATCCACACACCCCTGCTGCTGCCCCCCCCCACCCTGGGCGCCAGGGGAAGCAGGGAGGGCATGGACAACCAAACGTGGCTCGGGAGGCCAGGCTTCTACCCGTGGCCGCCACTCCGGCCCCTCTCGGGGTCGGGGCGTGAGCATGGGCCTGGATACAGTGCCGATCGCCTAGGGTGTGGGGTCAGGCCTGGCTGTCCAGGCCCGCTCCGAGCGGCGGGGGGGGGGGGGGGGGGGTCCCTGAGAGATCCGATGCTACGAGAAGCAAAGGGCAACATCGCCAAACATCTCGCCCGGAGCCCGAGACCTCATTTGTTTGCTGCATGCCTCGAGCCGGATCGATCTCTGCAGGTCCCGGGGCCCGACAGCTCGCGAAGACGCCCGCCTCGAAAACCTGGAGCGTCGCGCGGAGAGTCACGACCTATATGGGAGCCCCAGGCCTCATCTCTTTCTGCTCCGCGCCTCGAGCCCGATCGCTCTGTGAGGGTCCAGGGGCCCCACGCCTGGCGACGACGCCCGGCCCGAGAAGGAGAGAAAGGCCACTGCGGCGCGAGGCGCGTCGGGGGTGGGCGCCCTTCGTCTCCGTCGGCGGGCCGCCGCTCCCGCTCCCTCGGGCCCGGCGCCGGGGCGCCTCGCAGAGGGCGCGGGGCGGGCGCCTGCCGAGGGCGCTCGCGCGGCGAGCGCTGCTCCCGGCGCCCGGGCGCCGCGGCCCGCCGCGGCGCGCGCGCGCGCCCGCCCGGCGGAACCGTTGCCGCGTCGGGCGGCGCCCTCGCGCGCGGAGCGGAGCCTCGGGCTCGGCCCCGGGCGGGGCCGCAGCGGCCCGCCGCCGCCTCTCCGCACAGCTCTCTCTCTCTCTCTCGGGCGCTCGCCGCGCGGCCGCCGCAGAGGGGGCGCCCGAGCGTGGCCGAGCCCCGGCGGGCCCACGTGGTCCCAGCGGGCAGGGTGGCAAACGGCCCAGGGTGTTCGGTGGTTCGGCGTCCGCGCGCGCAGAGGGATCTGGTAATCCGGGTAACGTAGCACAGTCAGGCCATGCTCCTTCCATCTTCTGGTGTGTGTGTATGTACGTACACATGCACACATACACACATGCATGCATGCATGCATGCATGCATGCAGATGTGCATTCGTGCAGTTGAGTATGTACGCATACATATTTGTACACGTATGTGTATGTATGTATGTATGTATGTATGTATGTATGTATGTATGTATGTATATATGTATGTATGTATGTATGGGTGTGTATGTATGCATGTATGTATGTATGTGTGTATGTATGTATGTATGTATGTATGTATGTGTGTGTGTATGTATGTATGTATGTATGTATGTATGTATGTAGGTATGTGCATGCATGTATGTATGTGTATGTGTATGTGCATAGGCATGTCTAGCTGTATACATGTGTGGTTGTATGTATGTATGTGCGTACGCATGTATGTGTGTATGTATGCATGCATGCATGCATGCATGTGTAGGTATGTTCACATGCGTGTTTGTATGTATGCATGCATGCAGGCATGCATGCAGTCATGCATACCTGCATGTGTGTACGTTTGCATGTATGCATGTGTGTGGTATAGATATGTCTGTACGCTTGTATGTATGTATGTAGTGTATACATGTATGCGTGTTTGTTTGTATGTATGTATGTATGTGTATGCATGTGTGTGTGCATGCACGAATGTTTGCATGCACGTATGGATGCATTCATATGCGTACGTATGTCTGTCTGTGTGTATGTATGCCTGTCTGTATGTAAGTGCGTTAATGCATGAATGTATGTATGTATACGTGTGTGTATGCCTGCGTTCAGATACGTAGGTATGTGTGTCTGCATGTATGCATGTATGTGTATACATCGGTATGTACGTAGGTATGTATGCGTGCATGCACGCATGCATGTATGTGCGTATGCATGCACGCGTGTATGTATGTATGTAGGTATGCATGCATACCTTCACGTATGTATGTACGTACGCATGTATGTATGTATGTATGTATGTGTGTATGTGTGTGCGTATGTATGTATGTATTTATGTACGTCTGTATGTATGTACGTGTGTATGTATGCGTGTATGTACGTATGCATACGCGTATGCACGGATGCATGCATGCACGCACACACATATCTACATACATGTATCGGTATACATGCATATCGGTGTATGCTGAGGCTGCCAGGCACCATTCGTTTTCGAATGCTGGTGACATGTGCGCGGGTGCGGGCGCGCATGTGGCCCGCGTGGCGTGTTTAGACGGGCATTTTGGGAAACAACGTACAAGTCAGATCAACGCGCGCTGACCGCATTTGGTCACTTGCCATGGATGAGGCGGGGAAGCGCTACCGCGTCGATTGGCACATGGGGTGACCCTGGCCCCGGCGGCTGGGGGGTGGGTAGAGTACAATCCCCTCGAGAAAACAGGTTCAAGGTTGCAATGGAGTTTTGAGGAACTTGGAGTCGCCAACTCCACTGCTCGAGCTAGCGTCCCCCCCACCCCGCCGCAACACTCAACTGGCCCAGTGGCGCGAGTAGCCTATTCATGTAGATCCTTGACTCGGGCGTGCAGGTGATGATGGTGAAGGTAGTGATGATAATGGTTGTGATGATGACGGGGGCGACGACAATGACGATGATGGTGGTTATGACGACGGTGGCGGTGACGACCATGGTGATGGTGATGAATACGCTGGTAATAGCGATGACGTTGGCGATGATGTCGGTGGCGACGATCATAAAGATGGTGCTGGCGAGGATGATGAGGAACTGCGCGCATGCAGGCATTCTGACACATGTTTGCAGTTGTATGGTGTGGGTCACGTCTGTGTTGATTGAAATGCGCGGATTTTCACGGACGCGCGCGGAAAGGGGGGATTTCGGCTTGCATGGTACTATTTGATAGAGCTGGCAGGGGCGTGATGACTGTTGGATGATTTCGAAGCGCGCGCGCGCGTAGCCCGCATGGTCGTGTCGTATTCGACACAGCGGCAGCCATTATGTATGTCATCTTTCCTTGGTGGCTCGTCGGACTTCGTCGAGCGCGCGCGCGCAGACATGTCGCAACTGTGTCCGAAGCTCCAAGGTGTTAGCATTGTTCTGAAGAGCTACGCCTTGACATCGTCATTCACATTCCCCCAATCAGTGCTTCCACTTAGTGGCCCGTACTTCTCTTCTGAGGAGCTGGGCCTGACCGCCAGTCTGGCGGCTATGTTGTCGCCGTCGCCGCCCCGTCGCCGCCTCGTCGCCGCCCGTCGTCTGGGCTTGACCGCTGGTCTGGCGGCTATGGTGTCGCCGTCGCCGCCTCGTCGCCGCCTCGGCGCCGCCCGTCGTCTGGGCCTGACCACGCTGCCGCGCAGCCTCGCGGTTGCGTTTTACAGTGGTCAGCTGTCGTCTGTCATGCCAGCATGTTGATGCAAGCGCTCTCTCCAGCGTCGTGTACGCGATCGGCGGCTGCCTCGCGGAGATCGACGGCACCGACTACAGGAAGCAGTTCAGCAATTGGTGGAAGAACGAAATGAAGACGGTCAAGGACGCTGATGTGTGCATTACCCGTTTGGAGGGACGATGGGTGGGTTGGTGCTGGGTCTGACAGGAAGGCCGCGTGATAACAATCGGCAGCATTTTGCGAACCCTGCCTCTGCGGGTCCAATTGATTCAATCGATCCTGGGGTATCGGACGCTCCAGGATTCACTTGGTTTCCTTCGAATTCTGAACCCCTGCAGGCGTCACAAAACTCTAACTCGCAGTGGCAGGGCTTGGCGTTTGTCAAGGGCTTCCTTCGTGTGCCCAACATGAGTCCCCAAACTGACTGGAACAAAAACGGTGGCTTCGAAATGAGCACCATTCTTGGTTCGGGGCTTGGCGTTTGTCAAGAGTTTTTGCGGGCTCAACATTGGCCCCCAAACTGACCAGAAGAAACATTGCCTTCGAACCGAGGGCCGCTTAGGGTTCGGGGTTTGGCGTTTTCCAGCGATTCGCTCCGTGGGCTCAGCAGGAACCCACCATTGACTGGATTGTTTTCGTTCTCTAGTCGTGTTTTTCTTCTGGCCAAGCTGTGACCGTTTGTGGGCGCTCCGTTCAGAGCGCCCACACATGCTCACAGTTTGCCACTTTATGGTGCACCGCGCATGCGCTGCGCTCGATTGCGAGGAGGGGTGGGCCAAACCTGAAGCGCTCAGATGCGAGCGCAACCATGCGCTACGGGTGCCGATGCGTTGTCGAGCTCATTCCCAAAGAACAATCATCCGACCCCCTTGATGCCAGCACCAAAGGCCACTCTTGTGAAGGGTCACTCGTACGTGTAGTCGTTTGTTTGTTAACGTGGCGTGTGTGTGTGTGTCATACCATGTCTACAGTCAGTCATGGGTGTCCTTAGGACAGGCGGGGCATGGCACTCGGAGGTATGGTGGTGTCCTGGCACCCTGGCACAAACAGCCCCTCCTCTATTGTTGGGCCTTTCTTCCATATGCCCTCACGTGAACGCAGACGGTTGCGTCTACACAGTGGCACACTGGCGGGAGAGGTGCGACGCCGACATGGCCGGTACCCCTCAGAGCGTCCCACCTACGGTACCAGGAAGGTCGCCCAATGTCGCCCGCTTGCGGTCCCTACACCAATTTCGCTTGCGGCCTCAGCGGGTGTGCTGGATCGGCCCCTGAGTTAATCTCGGCACACCATTCACACGAACGTACCGAACAGTGAGCTCCACCTGCTGCACCTGTGAGGACGCCAGCATGCGGCTCCCACGCCCAATTTGGCATACCCTTGACACGGATCTTGCCCCACGGGGTGTTCCGCTTCACTTGCGGCTCCAGGGGCGGTGCCAGCATACCATTTCCGCATCAGTGCGGCACAGCCCTCACACAGGACGTGCCCCAGAGGGCGATCCAGCGGCACCATCTCGACTCGGCGTTCCTGGGTCGGCCTGGGAACATCAGACGCAGTGTTGTTCAACCACTCCGCAAGGGGATCGGGTTCTGAACGGGAAAAGGAGGGCTGCCAACGTCAGACGCCTGCAGGGAGCTCATAGAAAGTATGCTGGTTGCGGGTGCGGTCCTCCAGCAGGAGGAGGAGGAGGAGGAGAAGGATGAGGAGGAGGAGGCGGAGGAGGCGAAGGAGGAGGAGGAGGAGGAGTTTGCTTGCGCTGGACCTTGTGATTAGATTGAGCGGGCAACAGTCATCATCCAGGTGCCCACGGAACCAGAGAATTGCGAGATCCAGATTCCCCAGCACGTTCTTGCTCGGGCCCCTGCTGATCGTGAACCAGGGGGGCTGGGGAAACCCAGGGAGCGTCTGTAAGCCAAGCCTACAGCACCCCTTCCGGAACAGTTGGCAGCGCCATTATTGGGTATCAGTCAAAGCGAAAGGATTAAGAACGGGCAACGATAACCTTGGATATTCGAGCTTATGGCAGTTCTATGGCTATGCGCGATCCTCGAATGCGGGGCGAATCCATACATTCCGGACTCTTCTGTCCTTGTTGTTTCCCTCCCACCCCCCGACTGGCCTCTTCTAGCCGGCGCGCAGCGCAATTGAACCTCATGCCATCGTTGGCATCCCGTCCGACCGTGGCTTTGCCGCTTCCCGGGGCGAATCTCTGGCAATGGAATGCGTTCGCTGAGGAGGAGCGCAGCTTCTCCAGCCGTTCTGACTCATTGGAAACCCTGGTTTAACCAAAAACGACCCTGGGCTCCAGAGGAGTGGTTGGACGGGTGGCTCGGTGGGCGCGTGGGCTGTTACGGAGTCGTTTGGCACCACAAGCTAAGCCTGCACAGTTGACGATTCTGCCCGCACGTTTGGGAGCGGAGGCGCCGCTTCTGGGACGGCGCTCCTCGCGAGCGCCCCACAGAGCTCAGCCTTTCTTTTCCGTGGGAGGGGGAGGGTCCATGAGATCTTCTCGTGATTGCCTTCGACGACGCGACGCGCAAGCCTTTGGGTGGAGCCTGGGGTGCCTTTCCAGAGCCCTCCGCCTTCTCCCCTCCCCGCCCGCATGCGCGCACGCACGCACGCACGCCACGCACGACGCGCACGCACCAGCGCACGACACGCACGACACGCACGACACGCACGTGCACACGCACACACGCACACACACACACACACGCACACGCACACGCACACGAGTACGCACACGCGCACGCACACGCAAACACACACATACACACACACACGCAAGCACACACACACACACGCACCCTCACGCGCACACGCACACGCACACGCTCACACGCACACGCACACGCACACACAGACACGCACAGACACACACACACACGTATACGCATATCCGTACACATACGTGCACATTCACATGCACATTCACATTCACATCTGCATTCACATTCACATTCACATTCATATTCATATCTGCATTTACAGTCACATTCACTTTCACATTCACATGCACATCCGTATTTACATCCACATTCACTGTCACATTCACAGTTTCATGCACACATTCACATTCACATTCACATTCCAATTCACATTCACACATTCGCATTCACATTCACATTCACATTCGCATTCACACACGCTCACGCACACTTGCACACATTCACATGTACATTCACATCCACATTTACATTCACATCCACACGCATACGCACAGACACAAAGACATACTCATGCACACATAGACATGTACACACATTCGCATTCACATTCAGATGCACATTCGCATTCACATTCGCATTCACATTCACGTTCATATTCACATTCACAATCACAAACACATTCACATTCGCACACGTGCGCGCACACACGCACACACGCACACACGCGCACACGCACACACGCGCACACGCACACACACACACGAGCACGCACACGGACACGCACACGAGTACGCACACGAACGCACTCAAGCACACACACACACACGCACACACACACACACACACACGCACTCGCACACGCGCACGCACGCGCTCGCACACATACACACACACACACGCACACACAGACACACACACAGTCACGCATGCACACGCACACACACGCACACACCCACACACACACACATACACGCACACACAATCACGCACACACACACACGCACACACACAAACACGCACACACACACACGCACGCATGCACACACACACACACACACACACGCGCACGCGCACGCAAGCAAACACGCGCACACGCACACACACGCACATACGCACTCACACGCACGCACGCACACACACACACACACACGCAACACAATCACGCGCACGCAAGCACACACGCGCACACGCACACACACACACACACACGCGCAAACACACACACGCACACGCAAACACACACACACACGCAAGCACACACAGACACGCAGACACACACACACACACACACACGCACACACACACACGCATACGCACACGCACACGCAAACACACACATTCACGACGCACACACCCACACTCACACACGCACGCACACGCACACACACACACGCACGCACGCACGCACACGCGCACATGCACACGCACACGCACACGCACACACGCACGACGCACGCACACACGCACACACACACGGACACAGACACAGACACGCACATACACCCACACACACAAACACACACATGCTCACACACACACACACGCACGCACGCACGCACGCACGCACGCACGCATTCACGACGCACGCACATACACCTATTTTGAACATCGATCTGTAGAAACCTGTGACTGGAAACTTGCTTTGGTGGAATCGCATTGGCGCTGGCGACGAAAACGGGGCGGCCCGAAAGTACCCCTCGAACGGGCTCGTCTTCGACTACTTCGTGCGCGACGGGAGGCTTGAAGACTGGACGAACATGCCCGAGCTGCGGGAGAGAGGACGGCGCCCTTTTGATGCGACGGCTCCACGGCCGCGCTCCTCCTCCTCCTCCTCCTGCCTCTGGCTCGCTTCCCCTCGCCAGTCCCTGCTGCTTAGAAGGCGCGGGCCTTTTCTTCCCCAATCAGAGCTTGCCTCTGTAGGGCCTGGGTCCTCGCGGCTATCATATTGTTATGTCCGGTTTGTCGCCGATTTTCGCTGCACGCCCGGGTGCCCGGGTGCCCCGGGGTGCGCGGGGCCCGGGTGCCCGGGGGGTGCCCGGGGTTGCCCGGGTGCCCGGGTGCCCGGGTGCCCGGGTGCCCGGGCGTGCCCGGGGGTGCCCGGGGGTGCCCGGGCGTGCCCTATTGCCCTACGCCCTATAGCCCAATAGCCCTATAGCCCTACAACTCTATAGCCCTATAGCTCTATAGCGCTATAGCTCCATAGCCCTATAGCCCTATAGCCCCCTAGCCCTATAGCCCTGATTGGGTTTTCTCCGGTATCACATATATGTTTACATCTACACATATATATATAGATGTAAGGCACGCTCCTTCTAAGGAGCAGCCTCCTTCTAAGAAGCCTTCCACCCTCCCCCCCTCTGCGCGCGCCGACAATCTCGGTCACCCGCACGGGCGTGGTGCCGATCCCCCTTCGCGCGTAATGGTCTGGGCTGGACAGCTGTCCTTCTCTCCTCAGGGGTCTCTCTTCGGGCGGCGAGGGAGGCTTCAGAAAGGGGTGCTGCACAGCAGAAGCCCATCCGAACAAACACCCTGCTTGCCTCCAGGTTGCCCTGGGTTTCTTGGGTTTCGGTCATTTGGCTGGGGAAAGCGTGACGTTCCCACACCGCAAATTAGTGTACGTCCTGGGTTTTCTGAGCTGGGGTTTCTTGTGGAAGGTTTCTTGTGGTCGAGCCCATACTGTATGAGGCGGCCAGGCCTGGTCGTGTTTGCTCTTTTAGGTTTCTCTTTTTGTTCTCTTCGGGCGGCGAGGGAAGCATTGAAGAGGGGTTTTGTAATCCGTCTGTGCTTCCCATCCGCTTCTGTTATTTTTTGTTGGGGGGCCACGAACACCCCCCACAAGGACGCGCTCAAATTTGAGTTGTCCTCTGCCCGTGTGTGATTTCACCGGGGTCAGCCGTTTGCGTTTGTTGTCTGTGGCTTCGTTGGCCGGCCCATTGATCTCAGTTTCCAAGGGCATGGCAGGATCACTGTCTTAGTTCCTTCGGGGCTTGGGCCGCTTCTGTTTTCATTTCGTGCGGGCGACGGCTCATGCGATCCTCACTCGTTCAACATTTTTGTCGGTGATGACTCCACCCCTTTGTGTCACCAGCCTCCCTGTACAGTGTTGACCTTGAGGCCGATGTGAAAGTTTCTGGTGCCCCTGACCTTCCTCCAGCATTTGCAAGGGTCAACTGGGACCCGGACCAAGAAGTGGCATTCCGCTTCGGCCTACTTCCTATACGCGGAGGCAAAGGCAGCCTCGCGCCAGCATCGTGGTGCTGTCCTCGGCGATCCCGAGGCCGTCGCCCTTCTTCCTGCTGTGCGTTTTGCTATGAGCAGGTAGGGTGGACGAGCAGGACTTCTTGGGGTACGCTCGAGGAAGCGGCATTCCGCTTGCGACTTGCTCAAACCAAGAAAACCTCTTGCCCTCCAAGACGCTGGATCTGCTGCCGCCCCTCCGTGCAGTGCCTGTTTCGTCAGAGCATTCTTCGGCAAGTCCGGCACGCCCTGCGTGCCTACAGAAAAGGCTGCGGACTTCGCCTATGAGTTCGTGGCGCCCAAATGTATGGCCCAAGTTCGGGCCGCCAGAAAGTTCAAGTTTCAGTCAGGCTCCCTCAAAGCCATGCCTTTGGTCGCATGTCATGCCGCCAGGAAGTGACGAGTTCATTCGCGATGACCGCAGCGGCATGTCTACGATTGACTGACGAAGATCCGCGGGGTGGTTCCCTCGCAAAGCGTCGTTCGCCACTTTCCAATCCAGGGGTCTTGACCTCTCTGGCTTACCCGCGCTCCATTCGCATCTCTGCTCACCTTCTGTACTTTCCCGCTTGGCTGTCGAGGCTGAGTGGAACGGAAGTTGTCGGCAGTAATTCTTGGTGGACGCATTGTGTTTTCAGGGTCAGTCGCCACCAGCTGAGGGCCTGCAGAGGTATCGGATCTCATCGCGTCTGGCTATATATCTTTACATGTACATACACATGTATATACATACTCAGATCTATCGCATACTGTCCTAGAACCTTCGTCATCATCGTGCTAGTTCAACTCTCAATCACTGCATCCGACGTGGTTCACCCATTCGGACACTGCCAGGGGCACACGCACCGCCTACTAGGTCGGGGAGCGCTCCAGTGAACCACCGCTTTCGTATCGTAGTCTATCATGCGTTGACGCTTTCCGTTCCGCTCCACCCGCCTGAAGCCAGGCGTCGTTCATATAGCACTCAAGCTCAAAAGGGTTCCTGAAGAAGCGACACGCTGCAACTCGCCATCTTTGGGCTAGCGGAGGTGAATTTGATGGGATGCATCAATTTGCCCAGCAGGGCACGTTCGGGTGTGGCGGTTCTTGTTTTCACTTGTGCATCTCGTGCGTTGTAGGGCTCCTTCTCGGCTGGCCAGTCAGTGGCACCCTGCTTATCCCAATGGTGCTATCTTCTGTTATATGCACAGGTTTGCCGAGCACGGGTTGAGTACTGCCTTCACGGTGTAATGTGTTGGGGCGGTCACACTCAATGGGCTTTCATTGCCCAGCGACCGTACAAAGCAAGAAAAGCAGGGGGAAAACGGGGAGGGGAATCAGGAGGGGCGGAGGCGAACGGGAAGGCCGAGGGAACGAGAAGGGAGGATCAGGAGGGGGAGGACGGGAAGGATGGGGAGAACTGGAGGGGCAGAAGGAGAGGCAGAGAGGGAGGATGAGGAGCATGAGGATGAGGATGATGAGGAGGAGGAGGAGGAGGAGGAGGAGGAGGAGGAGGAGGAGGAGGAGGAGGAGGAGGAGGAGGAGGAGGAGGAGGAGGAGGAGGAGTGCCGGGAGGCGTTTTTTGTAGTCACGATTGCGAGCGCTGGTGTGCCCCAGGGGGCCGCCTCCCGGGAGCATCGGCCAGGGATTCGACGCGTTCCCCCCCCCGTGGGGAGCTCGCACGCCCGCTGACCCCCCGGAGGGCCCCGGCGAAGAGAGGGCCGGCGCTTCTGGCGCCAGCGCGTGGGGGATATGCCGCGGGGCCGGCGTGCCCAGGAGAACGGTGCCGTGTGTCGGGGGCCTTGAGACGGGGGCCGTGTGTCAGAAGATCCCCGAGCGTGGGGGAGCGTGCCGGCTTGGGCTCACTCAGGCGATCGCAGACATCAAGCAGTGGCGAAGCGTCCCGGCTCGCCTATAGCCCTACCAAACAATTCGGGGGCGGCAAAGAGGGGGGTGATGACTAGGGGGGGGTGGAGATCATGGCCTGGGCCATGATATTCCCCCGGATTTCATGGCGCCTTTTCTTGCTGTGTTTCATTACGTCCTTGGCCCTCCCGTTGGGCCGCGCACATGCCGCCGGTCATGATTTGCACCCCCCCCTCTTGGACACCCCCCTCTTGGCCGCTCCCGAACAATGTTCTAAGAACCTTTTGTGATTTCCACGAATTGTTCTCAGAACGCTTCTGGCGGAGTCTTTCTTGTTTTTATCACATCGGGTCTATGTTCTAAGCACAATGTTTTTGTTTTTAGAGCATTTCTGGATTCTAAAAATATTTCGTGGTAGGACTATAGGAGCCCTGGGACGGTCGGCCCCTGCTCAAAAGCATGGACCAAGGGGGAGTGGATTAGCGACGGGTCCTGCTTGCATGGGAAACCGCGCGGGCTTCCGCCGCCGAGCGAGGCACCACTTGCGCGCCGAGTCCATGGATCGCTAATTCATCCACGTTTGTCAGGAGGGGAAAAACACACAGACACAATTAAATCGTCGATTTCCCCAGAAAATATGCGAAAATATGGGAAGTGGGGGGGAATACAAAAAACAAAAAAATATGGAAAAATATGGGGAATCCGTTTATTTGTGTGTATTTATTCTCTTGCACAGGGTGTCTAGAGCTCCGACCACTTTATTTCGGCACCGCACCCCCCCTTTCATCATCATCATCATCATCATCATCATCATCATCATCATCATCATCATCATCATCATCATTATCACCATCATACTCACCATCATCACCATCATAATCACCACCATCATCATCATCATCATCATCATCATCATCAACATCATCATCATCCGCCCCCTCCGTCTCAGCGCTCCCCCGCGGCTCCAGCGCCCGCCCAGTGCCTCCTCCGCCTCGACCACTTTCTTTCGGCACCGCACCCCCCCCCCGCTCCGCCCCCTCCCCCGCGCCGTCTCAGCGCTCCCCCGCGGCTCCAGCGCCCGCCCAGTGCCTCCTCCGCCCCGACCAGTTTATTTCGGCACCGCACCCCCCCTCCCGGCTCCAGCGCCCGCCCAGTGCCCCCTCCGCCACGACCACTTTATTTCGGCACCGCACCCCCCCCCCGCTCCGCCCCCTCCCCCGCGCCGTCTCAGCGCCCCCCCGCGGCTCCAGCGCCCGCCCAGTGCCCCCTCCGCCACGACCACTTTATTTCGGCACCGCATCCCCCCTCCCCGCTCCGCCCCCTCCCCCGCGCCGTCTCAGCGCCCCCGCGCGGCTCCAGCGCCCGCCCAGTGCCCCCTCCGCCCCGACCACTTTATTTCGGCACCGCACCCCTCCCCCCCGCTCCGCCCCCTCCCCCGCGCCGTCTCAGCGTTCCCGCGGCTCCAGCGCCCGCCCTCCCTACCCGCCCCCTCTCTCTTCCCGCGACGCCGCCGATGCCGTCGCCGCCGTCGCCACCGACGCCGCCGCCGTCGTCGCCGTCGTCGTCGCCGCCGCCGCCCCGGGCCGAAAGTCTGGTCTGTGGGGGGGGCCCCCATTCAAGTGGCGCATAGCCGGCCCCCGAGAATACACCCGACAGACTCTGCGTGCAAAGCGACTGCCTTGGACAAGCGTTCGCAACACAAGGCCGCCGCGCACTTTGCACCGCGAGCCCCCAGCAGCTGAGTCCGCTCAGTAATTTCTTCCAGCCCTCCTTGGACCCTGGAGGCCTCCCTTTGGAACCCTCTGTAGGCTTCTCGGGTGTCAGTTGGAGGCTTCCTGGGAACCCGTCAAAGGTCTTTGAAGCCATCTTGCGGGGGACGGCCCTTGGAGTCTCCTCGCGCTCGCCCTCTGGAGCCCCTCTTGCGGCCCTGTTTTGTTCACTCCTTCTGCGATGTCTGGCATCCTCTCCCCCCCCCCCCCCCTCCTCCTCCTCCACATCCTCCTCCTCCCCCTTCCTTTTTTGTGCAAGAGCCATGGCACACGTGCCACTTGTTTGTGTGTCCTGGGGCTCCTTCAGTTTGCGCGCCCCCGACGCATTTCGCGTCGGGATGCCGCCTGGGAGCGCGCCGGTGCCGGCCGCACCTGGAGCCCAACAACAGGGGCCCGAAGCCCCTGCTCTCCCTCGGGCGTCGAAATCTAGACAAATCCCCTGCTTTGTGGGCCCTGGAAACTGGGGGGCCACATGCGAACCCTACCCCTACCCCCCACGATTTTTGAGGGGGGGATGGGGTTCACTTCGCTCGTGACCTTCCGAACACAGTGAACCCCACCCTCCCCCTCAGAAATCGTGGGGGATAGGGGTAGGGTTCGCATGTGGCCCCCTAGGAAACGGCAGGGCCGTTTTTTCACCGTTTCCAGAAAAATGCCCCTTGAACATGGAAACGGCGGAAAAACGGCGACCGGAAACGGCAAAAAAACGGCTCCAGGATTGGAACCGGAGCCGGAACCGGTCAGAAAAACGGCGACGCAACCGGTAAAACCGGCGTCGGAACCGGCAACAACAACGGCAAAACGGAACCGGTAAAAAAACGGCCTTGTTGTTTCCAGGGCCCAGATCCCCTGCTCCCTAGCCAGGGCGATGCTCAACCCAGGAGCTGTGTACACGCCCTCCTGGCCAAGCCAGGAGGGCGTGGCGTATGCACCGCTGCTCGGTTCAGGATGGGCCCGGCCAGGGAGCAGTGGATATGTGTAGGTTTCGTCTCCCTATTCCCTGCCTTCGCCGCTCCGGGCGACGCCGACGTGGACCAGTCAGCACAACGCGCGCGCATCCCCCCTTCCTCGGTAGCAAATCATGGGAGCCTGGTAGACCCTCATAGTTCCGTCTTTAGCATCGGTTAGCGTCGATTAGCGTTTGGGAGTCGATGAGATAGTGCCGATCCAGCGTCGGTTAGCGTCGAGTATTGTCGATTTAGCGTCGAACGGTGCCCAGACGGACGGCAGCAGTTCCCTTGTACGCCTCGGCAGCAGCTTGAGGCATTGGCTTGGACGGTACTCTGGGGTTCTCAATATGCGTAGGGGGGTACCCCCCCCTTACTGGGGCCGACCTCGCCTCGTCGTCGTCGTCGCGCCGCGACGGGGGTCGGAACGCCTTCGGCCAGCGAGGAGAGGAAAAAGGGTAAGGGAGCAGTGCCGCTCCCCCCCTCCTGTTCCCCCCTACCCCGCTTCTGTCTCAATCCCCTGCCTCTCCACCCCTAGGGGGCCACATACGAACCCTACCCCTACCCCCCACGATTTCTGAGGGGGAGGGTGGGGTTCACTTCGCTCGGGAGCTCCCGAACGAAGTGAACCCCACCCTCCCCCTCAGAAATCGTGGGGGGTAGGGGTAGGGTTCGTATGTGGCCCCCTAACCCCGCCTCGGCGCGATCCCGCGGAGGGGACCTGCCGGCAGCGGATGACCAGCTGGCGCGACGCCGCTGCGATCCACCCGGCGACTCTTCTCCGCGCGCTGCGCTGGTAGTCGGGGGCTGTGCCCGGGAGCGCTGCACCGGACGAGCCCACAAAGCTCCGGCCCACAGCCGAGTACGACGCCTCGATGCCCATGGGCGAGGCCGGTGGCCTTATATCGGCTACACGTAAGAGTGACCGTTCGCCGGAGTGACCTTTTGGTGCGGGCACAATGGGGTCCCCCGATCACCGATTGCGACGCGATGGTAGCGTCTTGCGCGCCCGAGTTTGGTCCCCCCGCGGCCCCCCAAAAGCCGCGCACCAAAGGTCACTCTTACCCAGGGTCACTCTTGCGTGCAGCCGATTACAAGGGCCGGGTGGCCGCATGCCGGCGCGCAGAGGGGCCCCTGCCTTCCGCGTCCTCCGTGCGGGCAGCCCGAGTCCGCAGCGGGATGCGGCCGAGGAGGGCAGTACCTTATCGTGTGCTTCCTTCTTTTTTTTTGTTGGTCATCCCCTGTTCACTCCTTTCCTCTTCGTCCTCCTCCTCCCCCTCCTCCTTCTCCTCCTCCTCCTCCTCCTCTCGCCTTGTCCTCCTCCTCCTCCTCCTCCTCCTCCTCCTCCTCCTCTCGCCTTGTCCTCCTCCTCCTCCTCCTCCTCCTCCTCCTCCTCCTCCTCCTCTCCCTCCTCCTCGTCGTCCTCGTCTTCCTCGGCCTTCTCCTCAGCCTCATCGACGGCGTTGAGAAAGTGGCCACGCCGATCCCCCGACGCTCGCCCCCCGCCCCCTCCTAGCTGCTCGATGGGCTTCTTGCCGCAGGGGGGCGCGCCAGCCTGTCTTCCTCCTGCCCTCCTTGTCGTCTCGTCGCCAACCCCACGAAGCCCAGAGCCTTTCCCCAATCGCAGAAGAGCCAGCTGCATAAGCATACACTCTTGGCGCTCCGCGAGCGGATTGCTAGAATCTGCGCTGGCACCGCGCCGGGGAGGCGGATCCAGCGCCGATCCGAGAAATCCGGGCGGACCTCCAACTGGTTTATGTTTATGCCGTTGTGTGTTCCTCTGCCCAAGGTGGCCCTTGCCGGTGTGGCCCGCTCCTGCCCGTGACTGCCGCGACTGGCGGTCGGCGGAGGATTCCCACACACATCCGGCGTCGTGGCGGAGTCGCAGCGCCGCGGATAAAAAAAACACAGCAGGAGCCCTCGGCCCCACCTTCTGCTTGCCTTGGCATCGCTTGGACGTGTGCATTTTTTTTCGGCGAGGACCATCGAGGAGCATCCTTGATCATGTGGCGAAAAAGCCACGCACGAAGCCAAAAGAAACACAGGGAATGCACGTCCGAGCGATGGCGAGCTGGTGCTTGCCGAGCCAGGTCTGCCCGCCAGGGCCTCAGGCCCGGGAGCGGGACGAGAACGCCCGCCGTGATCGTTTCGCGACGCTCGGATGCGAGGGGGCGATCCGGCCCAGGTCAGGCGACAGAGAGAGCCAGCGTGAAGATCCCCGTCCTTTGCTCGCGCTGGGCTCACAGAGCCTGGCGTGAAGCACGTTCTGTTTTTCGCTCGCGGAGCTTAGGGTTCACTTCAGGAGTTGTTCGCGCGCTTATTTTCCCCTCAGCCTTTCCTTCGTCCTTCCTCCGAAACATCGCGCTGAGAGGGGTGAAGGGAAGCATGAATCCCCCTCCGGCGGCTCTCACACACATCGGCCCGATGAAAGTTCCTTGAAGTTTCATCACGGCGCTCGCTAGCGGAAGCCGACGGAAGTGAAACGAGGCGGGAGAGCGGAAGGCTGTCGGAAGGCTTGCGGAAGACAGCGGAAGTAAATGACGACCCGTCCGGACCCACTACCCCCGTGGAAGCTTAGCAATGAAGTCGTCTGCAGTGGGCCGGGCGAGATCCCGCGCAACTTATTCCCCTTTAATGCCATATTTTCATCTCGGCCAGATTAGATTCCCACCCATTGATTATCCTGGCGAAGGACGCAACCTTCTGCAATTGTGAGCACTGCAGTTGTGAGCCCCACCTTCGGTGGAGCTCCCTGTGGGGCCACGAAACGCGTGACGGGTGTGCCGAAACGGGTACGGTGGCGCCATGCGAGCCCTGCCACTGGGGCCTTCGGTGGGGCTCCCTATGGGCCACGAAGCGTGTGAAGGGTGTGCCGACATGGGCGCGGTGGCACCATGCGAACCCTGCCCCTGGGGCCCTCGGTGGAGCTCCCTATGGGGCCACAAAGCGTGTGAGAGGGGGTGCCGAAATGGGTGCGGCGGCGCAATACGAGCCCTGCCACTGGTGCCCGCGGTGGAGCTCCCTATGGGGCCACGGAGCGTGTGAGAAGGGGTGCCGAAATGATTGTGGTGGCGCCATGCGAGCCCTGCCACTGGGGCCCTCGGTGGAATTCCTTATGGGGCCACGAAGCGTGTGAAGGGTGTGCCGAAATGGGTGCGGTTGCGCCATGCGAATCCTTCCACTGGGGCCTTCGGTGGAGCTCCCTATGGGGCCACGACACGTGTGAGGGGTGTGCCGAAATGGGTGGGGGGACGCATGCGAGCCCTGCCTCTGGGGCCTTGGTTGAGCTCCCTATGGGGTCACGAAGCATGTGAGGGGTGTGCCGACATGGGCGGGGGGATTCATGCGAACCCTGCCACTGGGGCCCTCGGTGGAGCTCCCCATGGGGCCACGAAGCGTGTGAGAGGTGTGCCGAAATTGGGGGGGGGGGGGGGGGACACATGCGAACCCTGCCACTGGGTCCTTCGGTGGAGCTCCCTATGGGGCCACGAGGCGTGTGAGGGGTGTGCCGAAATGTGCTGGGGGACGCAGGCAAACCCTTCCACTGGGGCCTTCGGTGGAGCTCCCTATGGGGCCACCGAGCGTGTGAGAGGGGGTGCCGAAATGGGCAAGGGGACGCGTGCGAACCCTGCCACTGGGGCCTTCGGTGGAGCTCCCTACGGGGCCGCGAAGTGTGTGACGGGCGGTCCGGCATTGGCGGGGGGACGCATGCGAACGGAGCCTTCGGTGGGTCCCCTATGGGCCACGAAGCGAGTGAGGGGTGCGCCGAAATGGGCGGGGGGACGCCGTGCGAATCCGTCCAGAGGTGCCTTCGGTGGAGCTCCCTGTGGGGCCACGATGCGTGTGAGGGGTGTGCCGACATGGGCGGGGGGATGCACGCGAACCCTGCCACTCGGGCCTTCGGTGGAGCTCCCTATGGGGCCACGGAGCGTGTGAGGGGTGTGCCGAAATGGGTGAGGGGACGCGTGCGAGCCCTGCCACTGGGGCCCTCGGTGGAGCTCCCTATGGGGCCACGAAGCGCTGCACTCGGTGTGCCGAAACAGAGACACGCGGAGGGCAGAGGCAGGGTTGGAAGGAGGGAGGAGGGAAGAAAGGAAGGAAGGAGGAGGAACGCGGGGCGCTGTCTTAAAAAAACGAGGACCCAACACCACAGGATGGTTGGGAAATGGGTTAAACAGATATCCCGTATCGTTCACGAATCCCGCCATGCTGGGATCGGCTCGAAGTATGATGGGGTTTCGAGCCTGCAGCATTCCTGCCATGTCAGGGTTGCCTGGAGGTCATCATGAGATCATAAATCGATCAGGTTTGGATCGCGCAGTCGTCGCGTGTTCATTTTGGGGCCGCCCTGGGCGCGCGTGGCTCCATCTTGTTGCCATCGGGCTATCTCGGCGTCACTCGTGGCTCATGTGAATGGTCATCTTGGAATCGGCCTGAGACGGTCCAGAATCCATGGCGGGATCGTGTTGGGGTGGCATCATCCTAGGGTCGTCTGGACGCTATCGTCTGTGGCTTGAAGCCCTCCTGGAACTATGTTGTGGCCATGGGAACGTCTTGGGATCGCACGCGTGCGAGCGCTGAGCACGCGTGCGCGACAACTGATTTCGCCGATGGGTGTACGGTGTACATACATGTTTTTTTTTGATGCGAGTTTCCAAGGAAGCTCTTGTTGGAGCCAAGTATTGCGACCATCTCCAAGGCGATGCTTGACGGCGATCATCACGTTGTTTTTTTTTGTCTGGCTGTTTGATTGGTAGGTTGGCAGGCTGGCTGGGCGGATCGTTGGTTGACGGGTTGATTGGCTGGCAAGCCGGCTTGTCGGTGAGTTGTGCGATCAGTTTTGAGGGCGAGGGTCTAGATTCCGGGTGCCCGCGCTGCCGATGGCCGCCGCGCACTGAAGAGGTCACTGTTCCCACCTCGGAGACGGTGGCTGCTGGCTACTTCATGAAGGCGCTGATCAAGGCGGGCCGCTTGCACGAGGGTGCAACGACAGTGAGGAGGGAGGTGGGACTCGGGAGGAGGAAGAGGATGTGGAGGAAAGAAACCTGAATCAAGGAAGAAGCAACTACGTAAACAGGACTCTGGAGGAGGAGGACCCTGGAGAAGGAAGAGGAAGAGGAGGAGGAGGAGGAGGCGGAGGAGGATGTGGATGAACGAAGCATGAACCGAAGAAGAAACAGCTGCGTAAGCATGCACTTGTTGGCCTCCGCGCGGATGTCTTGGTTCGGCGCTGGGCCCCCCTGCCTGGCGCTCGGGGCGCGCCATGGGGCGGCCCGAAGAGGCGCCGCCAGGGCGGCCCGGCGCCGATCCGGGAAGCCCGCGCGGAGCCCCAACATTTTTTATGTGTACGCCTTGGTGTTTTCCCCCTCGAATCCAGAGGAGGCAGGAGGAGGAGGAGGAGGAGGAGGAGGAGGAGGAGAAGGAGGAGAAGGGAGGGAGGAGGAGCAGGAGAAGAGGAGAGGAGGAGGAGAGGAGGAGGAGGAGACGAGGAGGAGGAGGAAGGAGGAGGAGGAGGAGAGGAGGAGGAGGAGGCAGGAGAAGGGAGAGGAGGAGGGAGGAGGAGGAGAGAGGAGGAGGAGGAGGAGGAGGAGGAGGAGAGGAGGAGGAGGAGGAGGAGGAGGATGAGGTGAGGAGGAGGAGGAGGGGGGAGCAGAGAGCTCCTGCGCCACCGCCTGGGGACCTCGCCCGCCCCGGCCGTGCTCGCTCTCCAGCTCCCGACCCCCCCGCGTCGGCGGCGCGGCCCGAGCCCGACCCTCGCCGATCCACGATCCAGGCAGGTCGATGGGCGGCGGGGGCAGGGTTCGGAATGCATCGAACGCGTGGCAAAATCCGAACCAGACCCCCGCCCCCCATCGACTCAGGGGAGTCGATGGTTGGCGAGGGGGCAGGGTTCGGAGGTGGCCACCTGCTCGCTCCGCCCCCCCCCCCCCCCCCAGCTTCGGAGGCGAGGCGAGCCCGCAGAGGCGCTCGTGTTCCTGCGCTCGCTTTCACCCGCTCGTTCTGGTCTGCCTCCAACGCGCCTCACCCTTACCCTTGACCTCCTCTTCCTCCTCCCCCCTCCTCCTCCTCCTCCTCCTCTTCCTCCTCCTCCTCCTCCTCCTCCTCCTCCTCTGTTCTCCTTACGGTGCTCTCTACTTCGGCCTCGCACGACCCGACCGAATCCCGCGACTTGTTGGAGGTAGCTCTATCTGGTGCAGCATACAGTGGGTGGAGTAACATGCAGTGCGACCACAGCACAGACATGCGGCGCAATGCCGCGTCTTCTTCTTCTTCTTCATATGTTCGCCTCCTCCTGCTAGAGGTGGAGGAGGAAAAGGAGGTGGAAGAGGAGCGCCCCGCCCATCGAGCAGGGGCGCGCCGAAGGGCGGGAGGCCTTTCGTCCTCCTCGGGGCCGGCGGGTGGTGGGGCGGGCAGGTGCGCCACCCCGTGATGACGACAGCGAGTTTTGCCTGCCGCCTTTTCTACGTCTTGCAGTGCGAGAGTCTCATGGTGCTCGTCCGTACGGGAATCGCTCGTTTTTTGGAGGGCCCTCCTGACGGCAGCGGACTTCTCGATGCGTATTTCCTGTTTGTTTTCCGCGGGAGAAAGACAGGTGCACCACCCCGTGATGCTCATCGGCCTGGCGGGCTGCGGCAAGACGCAGTCCTGCGCTGGCATGCTCCAGCAGCTCTGTCAGCCCACCCAGGACGGGGGCGGGGAGTGGGGCGTTCAGTGCCACCGGGCGCGTTCCATTTCCCGCAAAGTGCCTGCTCGCAAACGCTCGAAGAAAACACGTGCCTGCCTCGTTGCAGTGGATCGTAAGTCCCCCGCAGTGGATCCAGGCCATTTGCGAGTAGCTACTTTGCCGGTAGTGGCACGCGCTTTCCCAAGGACGGGGGGCGGGGGCGGGGGGCGTTCAAGTTCGGGGGAGACGGGGCGGAGGATCGACCTAATCCTCTTGCTGCTGTTGGCATCGCTCGGACGTGTGCATGTGTCCTCGGCGGGGACCATCGAGGAGCATGATTGATCACCTTGCGAAAACAGGTACACGCATGAAACCGACAGGTGCACAGGGGATCGACGTGACAGCGATGGCGAGTCCTTCACCTCACCACCATCACCATCACAACCATTGCCTCTCTCCTTCTTTCGGCCTTCGGCTCCCCATCCCCCCCTCTCGTCACGGCTGGGCGCGGCTCGGAGCATTGGTCAGTATGTTGTGAGGGAGCGGCGTCCTGGAGCCGGACTTGGGGGGAATTCTGGCCGATGAAGACAGGCAGCATGAAATGCAGAAGAAGGACGATCACGCATGATGACGATACCGTCGACGATGACGGCGAAGGCGACGATACCAAGACGATAGTGATACTAGTAACGATAGCGGTATCGTTGACGCCGACGAGGAGAACGTGATGATAATGGGTAAGGCAAACTGATAAGGAGTAGGAGAAGGAAGTGATTTGAAATTGGTCGCCGCTGGACCTTCCCCCTGCCTCCTCTTTCTTCATGCGCACTCCTATCCCCGCCCTCCTCACTGAGCTTCTGCTCCCTATTCCGAGAAGGAATGGATGACGATAATATTGTCGATGCTGATTATGATGATGATGGTGATGATGATGACGATGCTGATAATGATGATGCTGCTGATGCTCATGACGATGATGCTGCTGCGGTGATGATGATGCTGCTGATACTGATGATGGCACTGATGATGATGCTGTTGCTGATAATGCTTATTGTGATTATGATGCTGCTGATGATGATGATGATGATGAGGAGGAGGAGGAGGAGGAGGATGAGGATGAGGATGAGGATGAGGATGATGCTGATGATGATGATGATGATGATGATGATGAGGCTGATGAGGATGATGATGCTGATGATGAGGATCATGTAGAGGAGGAGGTGGAGGAAGGGGAGGCGAAGGAGGCTGACGGGGAGGAGGAGAAGCATGAGGATAGGGAGGACGGGGAGAAGTAGGAGGAGGAGTAGGAGGAGGAGGAAGAGGCGGAAGCAAGCCAACGTTTTGGCCAGATGTAAAAAGGTGGAGGTGGAGCAGGACAGGGAGGACAGTGGCGGAGGAGGATGAGGAGAGGCGAGAGGAGGGAGGACTTCGGCGAATCATTCCTCGGGATGTGGTTTGCAGTGGGAGGGGGGAGGCCTCGGCGGTGCAGGCCAGAACTTGACAGCAAGACTCATTCTATAGAGTCAAGGCTTGCGACCACTACTGCTCAGCAGTCCTGGTGGCTCATGGTTGGGGGAATGATGATGCTGATGATGATGATGATGCTGATGCTGATGATGATGAGGATGTTGATTATGATGATGATGGTGATGATTATGCTGATGACGATGATGATGATGCTGCTGATGATGATGAGGAGGATAAGGATGAGAAGGACATGAAGGAATCTATGGACAGCAGAAAGGAAGGTTGATGGTGATGGGTAGGCCGACGGTGATGCTGGTGTGTTACTTGTGGTGATGGTCACGATGATTGTGGTGGTGATGAGTGTGGCAAGGGCGATCACGGTTGTCATGATAATTCTGACGTTGGTGGTGGTGATGACAGTGATGATGACGATGCTGATGGTGATATTGACGATGATGATACTCATGCTGATGAGGTGGAGAAGGAGGATGACGACTATGTCGATGATGATGGTGATGATAATCACGATGTTGATGATGATGTGGATGTTGGTACTGATGATGATAGTGAGGGGTAGGATGACGATGATGATGCTGATGATGAGTATGATGGTGATGGTGGCGATGATGAGGATGTCGATGATGATGGTGATGCAGACGATGAGGATGATGATGCTGTTGATGATGATGCTGTTGATGATGATGCTGCTGCTTATGATGCTGCTGATGCTTCCGATGATGATGATGATGATGGTGATGATGATGATGATGATGATGCTGATGCTGATGATGATGATGGTCATGGTGGTGGTGAGGATGCTGATGTTGATGAGGATGTCGATGATGGTGATGGTGATGATGCTGACGATGATGCTGCTGATGATAATGATGCTGCTGATTATGATGCTGCTGATGCGGCTGATGACGATGATGATTGTGCTGATGGTGATGATGGTGATGGTTATGATGAAGATGATGATGATGATGATGATGATGATGATGATGATGATGATGATGATGATGATGATGATGATGATGATGATGACGATGCTGATGATGCTGATGTGATGATGAGGATGATGAGGTTAATAATGATAGTGATGATAATGATGATCATGCTGATGCTGATGCTGATGCTGATGCTGATGCTGATGCTGATGAGGATGAGGAGGATGATGATGAGGAACACGGTGACCTCGGTAAATGACAGGTCCGTAGTCAAGATTGCCAGTCTCGATCGCCACCACTGCGGCCGTGCGCGCGCGAGCGAGCGCAGCTTGACACGGGCAGCGCAGGCACAGGGAGGTGCTCCCGCAAGACGCCGCCTCCACCAGGGCAGAGAACATCTCTAGCCCACAGAGACAGGCGAGAAGAGGGCCCCCCCTCGCCCGTGCGCTGGGCCCGCTCTTGCCCTCGTTCTCGGCAACACCTGCGGCTCCATGGGGGAGCCGTGCCCGTCGCCCAGGGCTGCCCGGGAGGAGCCTGCGGGGCGGACGGGCAGAGCGGGCCGCGGCACAGTGACGCTGGACTCCGCGCAAGATGTGTTGACGGCAGGCGGCAGGCCTGCGACGAGGCCAAGGCTCGTCTCGATCCCTCCGATTCGGTCCGATGCGATTCGGACGGCTTCCGACTCCGATGCGCTTCGGCCTCGGATCCTGGCTGGGGCTCCGACCTCTCCACGGAGGCCCGCCGGCCTGCCGACCTCTGCCGACCCGACCTTTTCCCGACTCGGCCGCCGATGCTTCCCCCGACGCGATTCCTTTCGACCGCCGATCCGACTCCTCACCACCCACCGAACCACCCCAACCTAACCCGAAGCCCTCAATTTGCCTTCCATTTCCAGTGGGGGGGGGGTCGGGGAACGTTGAAAAAACACATGGTATCCGTAACCCCCCCAACCCGAAACTCGGGTCAAATTCGGGTCTTCGGGTTGGGTTGGGGTGGTTTGGTAGGTAGTCAACTCCTCGGTTCGATTTCAAGGGGTGCCCCGCGGGGCAGGCCGAGGCTGCAGCATCAGCATCAGCATGCCCCTGTGCGTCCCATCGAGCCTCGAGCCCTGAGGAGGAGGAGGAGGAGGAGGAGGAGGAGAAGGAGGAGGAGGAGGAGGAGGAGGAGGAGGAGGAGGAGGAGGAGGGGGGTGGAGGGGGGTGGCGGTGCTGGACTCCTCCGCGGTGGAGCCTGTCACCTCCCCCCCGCCAGGCGCGCCGCCGACGGCCGGGGTGTACTCCCAAGGGCGCCCCGGGCGCTCCCCGCTCCGCTTTGGTGCCGTCCGCGGCCCCGGATGTGCCCGGCCGTGTGTGTGTGTGTGTGTGTGTGTGTGTGCGCAGTGTTTCGCCCCGGTGGCCCGCTGTTTTGCTGTTTTTACTAAGGTTTCCCGACAATTTAGGTAAACGTTGACCCAATTCCTTTCATTCTTCCACTTGTTGTTAAGATTCATCAGATCTCATTCAATTCTCCCCGGCCGTGTGTGCAGTTTTCCGCCCCGGTGGCCCGCTGTCTTCTCGGGGGCGGAAGAGAGGGGGGTGATGACTAGGGGGGGGTGGATGTCATGGCGGCGGCCATGATATTTCCCCAGATCTCATGGCGCCCCTTCTTATTTCGTTGTGTCCCTGCCCCCCCCCCCCCCCTTGGGCCGCGTACATGCCGCCGGCCATGATTTGCACCCCCCCTCTTGGACGCCCCCCTCCTGGCCGCTCCCGATCTTAGGAGGCTGCGATGCACCTCCGAACGAGAAACACCCCGGCCGTGTGCGCAGTTTTTTGCCCCGGTGGCCCGCTGCCTTGCTGCTTTTACTAAGATTTCCCGACAATTTAGGTAAATGTTGACCCAACTCCTTTAATTCTTCCAATGGTTGTTAAAACTCGTCAGATCTCATTCCTTTCCTTGTGTTTCGTTTTTTTTTGGCGGAGGCCGCGATGCACCTCCGGACGAGAAACACCCCGGACGAGCGGCAGCCGGGCGGCGCGCCTGCGGAGGGGCCGGGCGAGCGACCGACCGACCGACCGCGCGCGCGGAGGGCGAGGCGCGGCCTCTCGTGCGGGGCCGCCGGGCACGGCGGCTTGGTGGGCTGCGAGGGGGGGGCGAGGAGCGATCCCGGCAGCACCTCCTCCTTCTCCTCCTCCTCCTCCTCCTCCTTCTCCTTCTCCTCCTCCTCCTTCCTCCTTCCTCCTTCCTCCTTCCTCCTCCGCCTCCGCCTCCGCCTCCTCCTCCTCCTCCTCCTCCTCCTCCTCCTCCTCCTCCTCCTCCTCCTCCTGAGAGGGGGCGAGGATCGCGATCCCAGCAGCACCGGCAGGCGGTGGCATTGGCCGAGCTGCATCCGCGCCGTCTGCGGATCTCCAGCAGGATGAGTGTGGTGGTGGTGGCGGTGGTGGTGGAGGAGGAGGAGGGGGAGGAGGAGGAGGGGGAGGAGGAGGAGGAGGAGGAGGAGGAGGAGGAGGAGGAGGAGGACGAGGAGGAGGAGGAGGAGGAGAGGAGGAGGAGGAGGTGGTAGTGGTGGTGGTGGTGAGGTGGAGGAGGAGGAGGAGGTGGAGGAGGAGGAGGTGGAGGAGGAGGAGGAGGGGGAGGGGGAGGGGGGGAGGAAAGGAGGGGGAGGAAAGGAGGGCTTGGGGATAATTATGAGGGTCGGCGGAAACGAGGAAAGGAGCGCAGGGAACAGGGTAACTATGGAGAGGAGGGGAAAAGGGTTGGGGAGATGAGGGTGAGGTAACCGTGCCGTACACCGAACACATTGCACATGCCAGGTAATTGCTGTTGGGGCCCCTCGGAAGTGGACTCACGCCCCTGTCGAGCGTTTCCTTGCCAGGAGGGGAAGCAGTTCACGTTTCACAAGATGAATATGAGCTACTACACGGACTCCACGTTGCTGCAGACGATGATGGAGATGTGGGTCAGACAGCTGTTTCCACTTCATCTGATTCTCCCCATTGCCCCCTTTCTGCGTCGCATCGCTTTTCCCCTTCGCCCGCCCCCAGACGTTTTGGCCAGGTATGTGGCCCGTGTTCCCGATTGCGACTTCCCAGGAGATCCCCCTGGAGAAGAAGACCGGCAAGCGGTTCTTTCCAGGGAGCCGCCGCCGCTGGAGCGATCCTTGCCGTGGCTACGTATCGAGAGCCAGCGTCGCCTTCCCAACGCCGGTATTGTTTCGGGCCGCCGGGGTGCTCTTGTTGTTCCCTCTTCAACTAGTTGCTCGCGACGTGGGCTCTGGCCGACCAAAAAGGGCGAGGGTGCAGGATTCCCGGGGAGGCCCGGATGGCCTCCGGATCACCCTTCGCGAGGGGCTCTCACAGGGCCCCAGGGTCTCCAAGAGTGTGACGCAACAAAAACGGGGTCCACTGCTCCGACCTTCGCGCGCAAGCTGCCCGCATAAGGTCGCGCGTTAGCGCCTTCGATTCAGATGTTGCGTGTCGTGCTGGCGGCCCGCGTATGGCGCCGCGCACGGTCGCTACAGTCAAAACTCATAGTAAGGACGCACGGATGTCCTTAGGGTACCCTCGCGTCCTTGCCTCTGCGGCCCGTTCTTCGCGTTTTCTGACGGCCAGCCATTCAGGATGTTGGCAGTCAGCCGTCCCAAAGGTGCCAACTTCGGCGTCCAAGGCCCTTGCGTCCTTACCGCCCGTCCTGACTACAGATCTCCACTGCATGCCCCATAGTTGCCTTCTGTGGCCCCGCATTATCTGCACTTCGTGGCCCCCGCTCGTTCGCACTCTTCGTGGCCCCATACGCATTCCCTTCGTGTCCCCGCTGTCGCCCTTCGTGGCCTACTTCGTGCCCTTCGTGGCCCTGCTGTCGTTCTCTCTCGCTCTCGCTTTCGCTCGTCGTCGCCGTCGTCGTCGTCGCCGTCGTCTTCGACGTCGTCGTCGTCGTCGTCGTCGTCGTGGTCGGTCCCAGGTCCGTCCCTCTTGGGGTCGGGTCGACGGTCCGCGGCCGCCCCGCCGATCAGCGGTGCCGCTGGCCAGGCCGACGGTCCGCGGCCGCCCCGCCGCTTGCCGGGGCCCGGCCTGCAGGGAAGAAAGGTATACCCCCCAAAAAGGGGTTCGATCGAAGACGAAGAGGGCGGGTATCAAGGGTCTTGGAAATACGCGTTATTGGACACTCGAGCAGATAAGGGCGAACAGTCTTAAAATGATTGTTATTGTTGTCGTTGTTATTGAGTTCTCATTACTGGAGAATCATTATTGTTGATCCCCCCTTCTGGTGGACATTACATTTTTCAAATTGAAGTGCCCCTCCTGGCGCTCGCACCCTGTTTTGATCAGAGAAAGTCCTCCTCCTCAAACTGTGCCACCTGCCTCCGGTTTACAACAACAACAACAACAACGGCTCCCGCTTGATACTTCGTCGAAATATACTCTGTCCCCCGTTCCCGCTTGAGACTTCCTCGCAACTTACTCAAGACTCGCGCTCCCGCCTGAGACTTCCTTGCAATTTACTCAGGCGCCGCGCTCTTGCCATTCAGGAATCGCGCGTTCGCTGGGGGCCCTTTCGAATTTACTTAGGAATCGACCTCTCGCTGGAAACTTCCTGGCTAATCACGCAGAACTCACGAAGAAGTATATGAAACGGGAGAAAAGCCCCAATCTGAATGTTTCGTTATAGGGCTATGGGGCTAGATGGCTCTAGGGCTCTAGGGCTGTAAGGCTATGGGGCTATAGTGATATAGGGCTACAGTGCTATAGGGCTATACGGCTATACGGCTACAGGGCTACAGGGCTACAGTGCTATAGTGCTATAGGGCTATAGGGCTGTTAGGGCTATAGGGCTATAGGGCTACAGGGCTATAGGGCTATAGGGCTATAGGGCTATAGGGCTATGAGGCTGTAAGGCTATAGGGCTATGGGGCTATAGGGCTACCGGGCACCCGGGCACCCGGGCAACCGGGCAACCGGCCACCCAGGCCGGCCACCTAGATCGGCGGCGACGCTCACCTAACCATATGAATCCGCTAGGACCCCTACAGAGGCAAGCTCTGATTGGGGAATACCCACCAAGGGTGGTATGTTCGAAGACGAAGAGGGCGGGTATCGAGGGTTGGGGAGATGCACGCAGAATGACACTCGAGCAGATAAGAGCGAACAGTCTTACAATCATGATTGTTGTTGTTGTTGTTGTTGTTGTTGTTGTTGTTGTTGTTTTTTGTTGTTGTCGTCGTTGATGTTGATGTTGTTGTTGATGCTGTTGTTGTTGTTGCTGCGGTTGTTGCTGATGTTGTTGTGGTTGTTGTTGTTGCTGCTGTCGTTGTTGTGGTTGTTGTTGTTGTTGTTGGTGTTGTTGCTGCTGCTGTTGTTGTTATTGTTGTTTTTGTTGTTATTGTTGTTGCTATTGTTGTTGTTGTTGGTGGTGGTGGTGGTGTTGTTGGTGTTGTTGGTGTTGTTGTTGTTGTTGTTGTCGTCGTTGTTGTTGTTGTTGTTGTTGTTGTTGTTGTTGTTGTTGTTGTTGTTGTTGTTGTGTGTGTGCGTGTGTGTTTGTTGTGTGTGTGTGTTGCTTCGCCTCCCCTCCTTTCGCGGCCCACCGCGGGTGACCCGGCCGATCCCCGACGGGAGGATCCTTGGCCTCCCCGCCGCGCGATCTGGCCCGGGCCGCGCGCGCTCTCCCGCTCGACTGTCCACGCCGCGCCGCCGTTTGCGCGTGGCCTCGGCGCCCAAAAGTGTCGCTTCGCCTTCCTCTGTTCAGGAGGGGAAAAAACCACACAGACACAATTCATCGTCGACTCCCAGGAAAATATGGGAAAACATGGGAAGTGGGGGGGGGGGGAGACCAAAAAACCCAGAAAATATGGGATCTATGGGGAATCCTGTTATTTGTGTGCATTTCTTTTGTGTGCCCCAGGGCCCCTTCAAACGTGCCGCTTCGCTTTTCTCTGTGCCCCTCCGTTCCCCCCTTTTTCCCCGCCTCTCCCCTCGCGGCCGCCTCCCCGGGAGCGTCACTGCCGACCCTCCCCGGGTGGACCCGGCTCCTCGCTGTGCCGGCCGGACTGGTGCGCGCTGCCCCTTCGGCCTGCTCTGCGTCGCGCCGCCGCGCGCGTGGCCGCGACGCCAAGAAGTGTGGATATGTACACTCCAGGCGATGCCTAAGAAAACCCAAGTTTTCGGCCAGAGTCTCGATTATTCTTAACGTTTCAGTGTGAGTCCCAGGATTTTGATAGAAATTCTCGGTTTTTATTCAAGTTCTGAGACTATGAATTTCTTAACCCGTGATTTCTTAAGCATTTCGCAGGGTGTATATGTGTGTGAGTGTGTCCCCATCTTGGGCAACGTCGGGCGGGGATAATTAGGGTCATGAGGGACGCATCGACCCCGATCGCCCCTTCGTCGCCGAGAGGGGCCGGGCAGCCTACCCCGCCCAGGAGTGCGCGGCTTCGCTGGCGGGGGCCCATCGCCGATGCCGTGCCGGTGCATCGCCGATGTCAGGCCGAGGCTTCCCCGCTGAGCCGGTCCTGTCCAACGTTCCCCGTCGGATCTGCGCGGGCCTCCGAGAGTTTGTGCTGATGCCGCAGGTTCGCGCCGCCGGGAAAGCTGCACCTGATCTATTTCATCGATGACCTGAACATGCCGGCCCTGGACAAGTACAACACCCAGAGCGCGATCGAGCTCATCAAGCAGAAGCAGGACTACGACCACTGGTACGATCGCAACAAGATCCAGCTCAAGGAGATCATCAACACCCAGTACCTCTGCTGCATGAACCCTACCGCGGGCTCCAGCACCTCCGCATGGATGACGTGGAGGAGGAGGAGGAGGAGGAGGAGGAGGAGGAGGAGGAGGAGGAGGAGGGGGAGGAGGTGGAGGAGGAGGAGGAGGAAGAGGATGAGGAGGATACCATTTTTGAGAATGCCTTGGACTGCCCCGGAATTGCTAATGCGCAGACGGTGTCAGTGCGAATGGTGACTCTATCAGGGCGGGGGAGCGGGGCCGGTAGCGGACGTTGTCGCAAAAATCATAGGAGATCTGTGCTCGCGGTGGAGCAGGAGGAATTCAAAGAAGAGGGGCCTGCTTTCCTCTCCGTCCTCCGTCTCCCGTCCTATCTTCTCCGTCCTCCCTTCTCTCTTCGTCCTCTCCATCCTCCCTCCTCCCCCCTCCTCCCTCCTCCCCCCCTCCATGGAGTACGGGTTCGCCCTAAGCCCTTGTTCGACCTCCGCCCTCCCTCCTCCATCCTCCGTTCTTCCTTCACTTCTCTTCTCTCCTTTCCTCTCCTTTCCTCTCCTCCCCCCTCTCCTCTCCTCTCCTCTCCTCATTTCTCCTCTCCTCCCCTCCCCTCCTCGGCTTCCGTGAGGGCTCCTGGCATTGCTGTGGCGTCTGTGCAGGATGTCGAGCGGGCTTCTGTGGGAGGAGTGGAGAGTTGAAGAAGATTGTCAAATTCGATTGAGGAAGCAGGAGCTTAGCCGGAGCAGACTGTTGCGACGGTGTGCGCCCAGCTCCCCAACCCAAAGCTTAGAGCGGGGGGGGGCGCGCGACAGACTTGATTCCGAATGTGGTCAAAGTTCAGGGCAAATCGTGATCTGGCCTTGTGGCTGCGTGGTCCGATGGCCTCGAGTTCTTCTGAGACATCGCTGTGCGGGGGACTTCGGAGTTGAAGGCGGCTCTGTTGAGAAGCCTCCTTGGCGTAACGCCAGTTCTCGTCGGATCGATGGTTGCGAGTCCCATGCTGGACCAAGAAAACCATCGGCTCTGTGAGCTTTATCCTGTGAGTCAAGAGTGCTCCCCATGACATACCCTCGGCTTTGATTTTGGCACTCGGGGCTCAGATTTACCTGGCTCCCAGGTTCTCGCGAAGGCAGGGCCACACTCGCGACCCCTTGTGCCTGACGCGATTCCATCGCTGCTGGATGGCACCTCCGAGCGTCGTTTCTCGGCGACGGGGCGACGCGCGCGGGGCTTGCCTTCCACATCCTTCCTGCCCGCGATGATCAGGAGGGAAAGAAACACACAGACACAATTAATCGTCGACTCCCAGGAAAATATGCAAAAATATGGGAAGTGGTGGGGAAGACAAAAACCCAGAAAATATGTGAAAATATGGGGGATATTTTTATTTGTGTGTATTTATTTGTGTGTTCCAGTTCCCCTTCAAATGAGGCGGCATTGTTCTTGGGGCCCACGGCACATCGCGAGCGTCGGGCTCGCCCTTCTCTCACACGACCGCGCCCACGTCCGCACCGCCAATTTTTTGCAGCAGAAGGGCCTCCCCGTCGGGCTGGTGCTGGCCGCGCAGCCCCCTCGCCTGCGTCGGCCACCGCGCACCGCCGCCCGAGGAAAGATAGCCGTCGCGGGCGGCACGTGCGGGGTGGCTGCAGGCCCTGGCGCTCGTCCCTCTCTTCGGGCTCCACGGTGGGCCTGCGCTCCGCCGAGCTTCTGCTCGGAGGCGTGCTTCGCTTCACTCCCCCTTCGCGCCTCCCGTGCTCGATTGGCGCTTCTCCGCACCCCCAGGCTGCCGCGCCGGCCGCGGCAAGAAAAAAGCGCCCGCCAGCGCTGCGACGCAAAGTCTGCCACAAGTATGGCCACTGTGCCACCCTCCCAGACGTCGGGCGTCTCGAAAGAATCGAGACGGAGGCTTCTCATCGTTTTCGGCCTCTGGGGGCCCTTCTTGGGCCTCGGGGCCATCCAACGACGACTCGGGAGGAAACACCGATCCCAAGGAAGTGGTCGAGAGGTCGGGGGCCCGTGCCGGGCGTGCGGCAATGGGGGGTGACCCACATGGGGGGTGAAGAAAACCGCCCCAGAGGGGTCCTTTTCTTCACGCCCCATGTGGGTCACCCCCCATTGCCACCCGACCGACCGCGTCTCGGAAAAATCGAGACATCTGCTGTCTGGGCCTGATGGCAGGCATCTTGCGCCGCCCTGCCGGCCCACCGCCCGAGGAAAGGCTGTGCGGATCGCCTCCCTCGCACTGCGGCGGGCCCCGCCCCTGCGGCGAGAGGCCCTGCAGCGGGTGCACGAGCGCCTCTGGCGAGGCCCCTGCCGCATTTCGTAGCTTCCTCCACCGCGGACTGCTCGGCCAAAAAGCACGTTCCAGACCTCCCCCGCTCCTCCTCCTCCTCCTCCTCCTCCTCCTCCTCCTCCTCCTCCTCCTTCTTCACCTCGTTCCCCTCCTCCCTCGTGCCCGCTCCCACCCTCCCTCCCCTCCGCCCCCGTGCCCCCCCCCCCCCCCCCCTCCGCCCCCCTCCGATGGCGGCCGCGCGACGGGTGGGCGCCACGCCCCCAGTGTCGCCGCCTGCAGCCAGCCGCACACCACACCACCCCGCCC